TACTGCTCTGATTTGACTCCAAACTATGCTTCCAGCCTTATATTATTCAGCTCTTTCTCTGTTTATCCTCTACATCCAGGCCTTTACTAGCACCAAAAATAATTGCTCATTCTGCTCTTGCCACTTAGAATGTGTCCTCTGTTTTCTCCCATTAAAAGCTTACCCAATTTTAAAGGACCAACTTCAAAGCAGCCTCCTTTATTCATTTGCTCCAGATACTCTGTAACCCAATGGCTATTTAAGCTTCCAGCTTAAAAGAAAGGAGTTCCTACTGAGTGCCAGGAAATAGTCTCTCCAACTGTGCACTTACAGCATCCCGTTCTCTGTACATCCATTTTCTCATCTGTAAAATTATCGTTACAATGGTACTTTCCTCATAGGGGTATTCATTTTTTCAGATATTAAGTTGAGTACCTACCGTGAGACAGGTACTAACTTGGGTCCTTGGGGATACAGCAGGGAATGAAATAGACCAAGTCCTACCCTCATCGGATTTATCTTCTAATAAGAAAGACTTCAATGAAATATACTTCTAAAGCTCTTAAAACCGCACTTGGAACATAGTAGATGCTTGGTAAATGTTACTGTCACTATTCTTGTCACTGTTGGAGGTGTTGCTGTTTGGTATTTCTATAGACACATAAGGATACAAAAGTTCATAAACTATTAGATAAGCTGCTGAAGGTCAAATCGCTAGTAGGGAATTCCCACTCAGGTTTTCCTGATTCATAACATGGGTGGCCTTTCCATTGCACCAGGGCCCCAAAAGCAGACTGTACAGCACAACCATCCTTAGAGCTTCTCAAGTCCCAGTGCCAGATAAACTAAGTCAGGAATTGTTTAGATGTGCGAAGACTATTTTTTTAAAAACGATCCCAGCGGGCTGTCATGCACTGTCAAATCAGGGAATGGCAGCAGTATATTAAAACCTTTCCTGTGTTACTTTATTATGATTATTTGTAAATATTGAATCTATAAATTCACTAAAGAAAGGCTCCTTGTTTTCTTATTTATTTTTTTCTGCTTCCTCTCCTAGAAAAGTTTCTTATAAACACTCAGTAAGTATTTGAGTAATTAATTGCTTAATTATTTAATTAAAGTTACGCTTAAAATGCAAATACTCGCAGCTGTGGTACAAGAAGCCTGTTATGAGCTATCATTGATCTTACTAGGGACATTTATTAATCAGCTAAGAAGCAGTAGTTGAGGAGGAAAATCTAAACATCTGAGAACGGAACTGAGAAGGCTTGCACAGGCTAAGGTTCCCATTTTGCCCTGCCTATATTTCCTTGATATCTTCTGGTAAAATGCAGAAAATATTTTGCTAAAAGTCAGGAGATTCCTCCCCCCATAATTTTATTTCTTTTAAGTTGACACATGCCTGTCTTTTAGAAAATAGGGGGGAGAATCTCTGTTTTTAAGAAAGAAAAAAAATCCTTTATTCTTGTCACATCATGAACATGGAGTTTACTGCTGTACGTTAAGATTATAAAGCAAGATCCCAAAATACAATGACTGATTATTCACAGTAGACGTATTAAGTCAAGAAGCTTATTTTTTCTCTCTTTGCTAAGGCACAAACCCTGAGGCTATATGCATTTTTATTACACTGTACTGTCTTGGTTTCACTTGAGGATTAAAAAGACAGTCAAGGTACAGTGCATGTATCCTGATGGATTTCAGGATTTCTTGTTTAGTGAAAGGAAGAATCTCATAAAGTACCTCAGATTATTGCTCAGGGAAGTATACCTACTTCTGTGATGACCTAGAAATTCAATCTTTTGTTTCTCCTATAAAAGATCACATTGTATCTTGGAATTTTTTCACTGTAGTCTTCTGTACCATGTAAAGCCACATTTTAAAAACTGGCTTTAGTTTAGATTTGAAGTGAAAATAGTTCAGGGAAGTCTTATGAGTATTCCCAAACAGCCTTGGGGATGGGGCAAGGTGGAGTGAAGGGAGGCAACCAGGAAGAAGAGGAAGGATAGGTCAGAAGAGTAAAAGGAAGACTGAGGGAGACTGTGGAGACTCAAGTGTGAGTCCATGGCAGAGTTTGAACTCGAGTTCCGACGAATCTACACTGAGAAAGAATAGAAGTGCATTGCTCCATCTCCTGCCCTTTATTAAGAACATGAAGTATGCTTATTTATGCAACTTGTGCCTTGTCTTCTGATAGGCAAAGAAGAGAGACAACATTGTAGAACTGAAGTACAGTAGATGAGATCTTCCTGATACTGGTTTGGCAGCTCTGCTCAGTGAGAGTAAAGAAAGGTGAGCTGGGAGCTGGTAGAAGGGGCTCCTGGCAGACACGCTTCTTGAATGGGCGGTAAAATTGACTGTGAAGGGAATCAAGGTCAGGGAACTTTGGAAATGCTGCAAGGATGGTGTGGTATTTCGAGAGCATTGATTTCCTTGGTTAAGGATTGTTGCGTGCATACTTCAGCAAATTCTCCCTCCCAGCCTTCATTAAAAAGGTGTAGAACTAACTGGAAATCTACAAAATATATATCCAAAATATAAGGGTTCAGACAACAATGCTTGTTGATTTCTGGTGCTTTATCTTTTTTCATTTATCTTCAAGATTTCAACCTGCTTCAGTCATCTTTTAGTATGAAACTGCTAACTTCGATGTATGCTGTGTCTTTTTTCCCCCCAGATGATACCAGTTCTATTTTATCTCATTGATAATTATTTCAAATTGCCACTTCTGTTCCTTGGAAATACTCCTGTGTTCTAATACCAAGAGGCATAATTATGTAATTACCATGTGAACATTATGCTACTGTGGGCCAGAATGCCCCTAGAAAGGAATGCTTCAATGGCCCCAGAAAATTTCTGTTTGAGTGATATCTTCCAAATGTGGAATAAATAAAGCACAAGAATAAATAGCTAAAGCTAGAATGCAAATGATTTAATGTAATGATGTTGTAAGGTGAGAGCCACTTGACTTTAGTTCCTGTTGCAAATCATGAGATACATTAGGAAAGCTTTTAAAAGGGAACCTATTTTTTTAAGGATAAAATCTGCATCGAGTTACATCATTATCCAAGCAGAGTAATTCAAGTTTCTTCTTATCTTTTTGAGACCAAAAAAAAAAAAAAATGCAGAAGAAATGTTTCCTATGATCTCTTTCCTTCCTGTCACAATTTTCATAAGTCTGTAGATGTAATTAAAACTAAAGATTTTGACAAATGAGGCAGGATAGGAGGTTGATTGCTGCTTTTCTAAATTAAAATTAATGATACCCTTAAGGTACTTGGGTCTATGAAGTCAACTTAATGTTGATATAACCTGACTCCATTATCACAGAATGAGGCAGTTGCATAAGCATAAAAACCGATAAACAAACATCCAAAGCACATTTTAGAAATCGATGAGGTGAAAGCTTGTTTTCAACAATGGACAAAAAAAAACTTGCTGTTTGTTCTCTCTTGCTTTCCCAGATAATAAAAGAGTTTGGTGAAATTAAAGAAATAATGTTGCTGGAGAAGTGTTGAGATGGCACTAGGCTAGGGCTCCTGTCCCCACATCCTGCCTCACATTTCTTGCAGGGGTGCACAGCTACTTTATTTGATGTGTTGATCTGTTTGCCCCAGCAGTCTGTGCTCTCTTCTAGTGTGTTGTGTAGTACATAGTAGGGAGAAAGGGGGTGGAGGAGAAAGGAAAGGCAAAAGAGGGGATAAGAAAAGGAGTCGGAGATGAAAAGAGTAAGCACAGAAATATAAAGTGGAGGGGAAAAAAAGTTATGAGATAGAAAAATTTTAAAAGGTGAATTAATGATGGTCTCAGATTGCACATGTTCGTATATATGCCCTAAGTCACACAAAATCAGCTCATAATTTTACTCCTAGTCAGAGTGGGCACCATGTTAGCACTGGTTGCTTTCCTGTGATCTCTTCTGAAGTCAAACATAAGAAACTCTGCTTAATTTCTAAATATCCCAATATCAATAAAACACATAAATTAATTCAAGGAAAAAAGAAGTCAGTCAATTTTTGCATCGAACAAGCCCAGGCTGTTTTGCCAGTGAGGTATACCCATCACAGACCCTCATTCCAGAACTTATCTCAGATCTTTTTTTTTTTATAACAACTGAAAAGAAATCAGAATTAGAAGAATGGTGGCTTTTGACAGAAACAGATTACAATTAGTTAAAAGGATTTTAACTGATACTGTAATTGGTCTCAGGAGCGTTACCAAGGTAATGTTTGGGCATGTATTTATGATTGTTACATGTAATGATTTAGGAATAAGAATGAATTAGGAAGACTCTCCTACAGCATAGACATATGCCCACAGTAAACTGTACAAACAGCTAAATTTCAGAACAAAAACTCCTGAGTAGATTGTAGAGTCAAATTTGTGTGTGTATGTGTGGTTTGTTCACTACCATCACAGTACAGGAAGAGTTTTGGTTTTTCTTTTTTTTCCTCACTAGTGTATGTGTGAAGTCTGGTTCTGGTATGCCCATGGATATTTATCACGAGTCTATACAAACTGAGAGCCAGAAGTTCAAAATATACATGCCTAGTTACATGTTTTCCCTAGACTGGAGTAAACACGATTTATGTATGTAGTAACAGTAAGACTTAGCTTGGACACTAGGAAGAAACCATGTTGTCTAACATTAATGAACTGACAGAGCAGAAGAAAAAGTGGAAGCTCATGAGACTTTAAAACAAATTTAAGTATGAGGCATAATGTTGTTATCAGTCCTTTTTATTTCTTTTATTTCGTGGCATATTTAAAACAATTTTGAAGAAAAAAATGAAATAAAGCTATCCTTCAAAATACACAGAGTAATGGACTGAGTTTTGGGAAACAGTCACAGTTTGGAATTCAGAGTGTGTTATGATTAATTTAGTTGGATGAATTAATGCTCATTCATTATACCCAAAATTACACTAAAAGTCTACCATATTTAACTTAGCATACTTAACAGAACTCAAAAATTCATTCGTTCACTCATTTATTAAATATTTATTAAACATCTCGGTCGCGGCTCTGCCACAGGGACAGGTGTGGAGGGGCTCCCTGTCTGGCCGCTGCCGCCCCTGCCCCGGGCCCGGGGCTCCCCCAGCGCCACCGAGGGGCCGCCCCGCGGGACTGAGCGCGCCCGGAAGCTCGAGCGGAGGATAGAAGGACAAGAACAGAATTGCAGCACTGGCTGAAGATGCCCAGCCTACAGAGTCTGAGAAGGAAATTTATAATCAGGTGAATGTAGTATTAAAAGATGCAGAAGGCATCTTGGAAGACTTGCAGTCATACCGAGGAGCTGGCCATGAAATACGAGAGGCAATCCAGCATCCTGCAGATGAGAAGCTGCAGGAGAAGGCGTGGAGTGCAGTTGTACCACTAGTAGGTAAATTAAAGAAATTTTATGAATTTTCTCAGAGGTTAGAAGCAGCATTAAGTGGTCTTTTGGGAGCCTTGACAAGCACACCCTACTCTCCCACCCAGCACCTAGAGCGAGAGCAAGCTCTTGCTAAACAGTTTGCGGAAATTCTTCATTTCACACTCCGGTGTGATGAACTCAAGATGACAAATCCTGCCATACCGAATGATTTCAGCTATTACAGAAGAACATTGAGTCGTAAGAGGATTAATAATGTACCAGCAGAAGGAGAAACATGTAGTAAATAACGAGTTGGCGATCCGAATGTCTTTGTTTTATGCTGAGGCGACTCCAATGCTGAAAACCTTGATTGATGCCACCACGCAATTTGTATCCGAGAATAAAAATTTACCGATAGAAAATACGACCGACGGTTTAAGCACCATGGCTAGTGTATGCTGGAAACACCGGAATCCAGAAGCAGGTTTACAAACGAAGAGACGGTATCGTTCTGCTTGAGGGTGATGGTGGATGTCTGAATACTCTATGACCACGTCCATCCAGTGGGAGCATTTGCCAAAACTTCCAAAATCAATATGAAAGATTGTATCAAAGTTCTTAAGGACCAGACTCCCAACAGTGTAAGGGTCTTCTAAATGCTTTCAGGTACACAACAAAACATTTGAATGATGAGACTACCTCCAAGCAAATTAAATCCTTGCTTCAGTAAAGTTCTGGAATAAGCACCTGCTGGAGACAGAAGACCGTATTCTGCAATGACTGAGAATGCACAGTTTTTTAGTGATTGCAATTCCTATCTCATTTATTCTTGCTTTTCTTTCTTTCCTCTGTTCCTCTTCCCTCTTTTTTAATCATGTTCTTGTTCTTAAGACTTCTTTTCTGTGCCAAACTCAGTAAAGTTTCACTCTGAAGGGATCTTGGATCTTGTCCCTTCCACAAGCCACTGAGGCAGCTAATTATGCATTGCATTGGGGTCTCTACTGAGAAAAATTCTGTAACTTGAACTAAATATTTTTAAATGTGGATTTTTTTGAAACTAATACTTAATATTGCTTCTTCTGCATGCCAAAACTGCCTCTTCTGCTATTTAAAAACCCTCCATGACTTTGTTTTCTACTGTCACTTTTCTCATGTGCAGCCAAAATGAAATGTTTAAATTAACCGTGTTGTACAAATGGTACCCAACACGAACTTTTTTTAAATTAGTAAGACTTTTGTTTAAAGTTTTAAGTTTGCATTTTGACTTTTTTTGTAAGGATGTTGTGTGTTTAATCTTTATTAACACAGTTAAAAACTGTGATGTGTGCGTAGAATATTATGTATGCATGTTCATATTTTAAAAATGGCTGTTGATAAAATAAAAATCAGCTTTCATTAAAAAATCTCCTATGTACTAGGCACTGTGATAAATTAACAAGACAATAAAGCCTTTGTGAACAAGGAACATGCACTGTAGTAAATATCTTTTCAATGAATATAGAGACATTTCTTACTGGAACAAAGGAAGAAAGGTCTCTGTAGATGGCACATTGTCTATAGAACTTACCTGAAATGAGAAGACAAAGGAGAATAATATAGAGTTTTCATAGCTCTCAAACATCATTGTTTAAAAATTAGAATAAAACAAATATAGAAGAGATTTGGGCTTTGGTTTTTTTTCTAGATTATTGATTTAAATGTTTTAATCTTATATTGTAGACAAAATTGAATCTAAATGGCCTTCTTTTCTTTCTTTTTTTTTAACTTTGATCATCCAAAAATGGAAGGGAGAGAGGAAGGGAGGAAGGAAGGAAGAAGGAAGGGAGATTTTTTAAAAAACCTGTCAAGAATTTTGAAAGAGACATTAATCATTTAAAATATAGTTGTTATTGTAAATATCCGTGAATAAACTGCATGTTAATTCATTCAACTAGTATTAATTTAGCACCTGCTATATGCCAAGTACTGTGCTAGTCACTGAAGATGTAGTAGGGGAAGAAAGATGTGTCCCTGTCCTCATGGAGCATATTTTTAAAAGACCTTTTTTCCCTGACATGCTTTTACTAAAGAATTTCTGCAAACTAGATTATGAGTACTCATGGACCAGATGGCAGTTTTCTGCCCATCTGGAATAATTCTGAAGAGTAGACCCTCGTGTATCAATCAAGGTTTCTTCCAGTTCTAAACTTTCATGATCTATGATCTAATAGTTGAAACAGAATGTATGCTTCCAAAAATATGTTATACTTGTATTACTTTTTATAAAAGGAAACAGATATGGCCTATTAACTCAGAGGAAATTGGGTTCCTCCTGTCTGCTTAAATAATTCTATTTAAATGTCTTCATCTCTTCTTTCTGATCTCACCTTCTGAAACTCATTCTTACCCCCTCTATTCTCACTTCCTTTTCCTTCCTTTAATGACTGAGAAAAATTACTCATCTCTAACTGGCATGATAGTTAAAACTTTAACTGGAGCTATGTGACATCTCCAGTTAAACTTTTCATTGTGTGATCAAAGTCATCATTTTCCAAATGAATTCATACATACATATACCATTTCTTCCTTTTCTGATTTCCACATTTCCATGAGCAATATCCTTGTTCTCCCATTGTTCCAGACTTGAAATCCAGGAGTTTATTTGCTCCTTCCAAAATTAACCTCCAACACCAAATTGGATAGTTGTTCCTTCTTTCAAAATATCTCCTCATATGTACCTTCTTTTGCATTCCAGACAATATAGCCTTAATTCCAATATGTATCACCCCAAGTCTAGTCAATTGCAACAGCCTATAACTGGTCTCTGCCTCAGGGTCGCTTTTGAATTTGTTTTACATAATGATGGACTAATTTTTCTAAACCCCAACTCTCCTCTAAAATAGTCAGTCACTTCTCAGAAATCTTCAGTGGTTCTCTTTGGCTACGAGGTAAATCTTGAGCCTCAGAGTCTGGGATGCCTTGCTTTTGTATCATCTGATTTCCACATGCCCAGCTAATTGTATCTCACTCTCCTCAAAACCACTGTTCTGCAGATCCAAGCCTTTCCTTGGCTTCCTCACCTCCAGGCCTTTATGTCCAAAGATCAAAGACTATAGCACTTTTTTTTTTGCACATTTCCTTTAGTATTAACAAATAACCAAAGAAAGAACTAATTATGCCAGAATGCAAGGTACTGGTATATGATTTCTGGCGTTTGCTTCCTGGTTTGTACATACTATGGTATGTTAGTTAAAAACACAGCCAGTTAGAAAGGTCTAATGCATGGGACCTGTTGTTTAAAAATAGTTTGTCAAATTTCATTTCCTTGTGTTATTGGTCACAGAATAAAGTACATTGTTCCTGAGTCCTAAGCTATAGCTTGTGAGGACCTTGGATGCTTTCAATTGTTTCTCTCTTTCTTAAAATTATTTCTTTATTAAGTCAATTGTGCATTCAAGTCACACAATACCTTTCTCTAACAATAATTAGAGAATTATTAGCCTAACAATAATTAGTTAGTGGCTCAGCCTGTAATCCCAGCGCTTTGGGAGGCCAAAGTGAATGGATTGCTTGAGCCCACAGGTTCGAGACCCACTTGGGCAACTTGGCGGGACCTCGTCTCTACAATAAATCAAAAACTAGCCGGGTATGGTCCACACGCCTGTAGTTCCGGTTACTCGGAAGGCTGAGGCGGAAGGATCACCGGAGCCCAGCAGGCCAAGGCTGCGGTGACCGGGAGTGTGCCACTGCATTCCAGTCTGGGCGACGGAGTGAGACTCCAACTCAAAAATAATACTAGTAATAATAATAATTTGTGAAGAGATATATTTTATACTTAATTTTTCTCACTTGTGTATTTTCTTAAGTTTCAATTATAGGGAAAGTCACTTTGATGTCATTTTAAATTCTTAACAATATTGGGTGTACACTGGAAACTACCACAGGAGTCCTTGTCTAGGAAGCAAACAACTTTTAGAGATTGGGGGACTATAAAGGACTTTGATGCTGTATCCTCATGGTCCCTATGAAGTTACTCATATTATTACCAAAGATGTGGACTGTGGCAGAGTCACACTCCTTTACGATCCGCATGTTCCTCTTGAGATTTCTTTCTCAATTTGTGAAAAGATTTCTGATCAGTCTCTACTCATGTATGGCATCCTGAGCCCTTGTTCCCCAACCATAAATATTGACATTTATCTCTTGATTAATTTGTTAATGAAATGATCCATTTGAAATTGGAATTAGAATTAGACTGAGCAGTGACTCATGCCTGTAATCCAGCACTTTGGGAGGCTGAGGTGGGAGGACTGCTTGAGCCCAGGAATTCAAAACCAGCCTGGTAACACAGCAGGACCTCATCTCTATGAAAAAAACATCAAACAATGAGCTGGGCATAGTGGCACACGCCTGTAGTCCCAGCTACTCAGGAAGCTGAGGTGGGAGTATTGCCTTAGCCCAGGAGGTCAAGGCTGTGGAGAGCCTTGATCATGCCACCACATTCCAACCTGGGTAACAGAGTGAGCCTCTAGCTAAAAGAAAAAGAAAAAGAAATAATGACGTATTCCAAATAATAACTTTCATATGCTTTTCCATAACCTTTCTCTATAATCCTTTGGTGTAATATTCTTCAAGACCAGGAATTGACCTTGCATTTGGTCATAAAATATGTTAACAACTAACATTTCATAGATATGTACACTAGATTTGGTCTGCATTCAATCTATTAATTGCTTAAGATAAGAAATTAAAAATCAACTACATATTAAATATTCATAATTTTTTCAACTTTAATCTCCAGGGTAGCAATTAAGAGAAAGAACCAGATTGAACAAGTTTAAATTCTGACTCTGCCCATTTACTAACTACTTAAGCTTACACAAGTTTTTTAACCTCTCATGTCTCTATTTCTATATCAATGAACTGAGAAAATAATATTAACTCCTATCATAGTACTTATGAAGATGAAATAAATAATTTATATGTCATGCACATAGTGCTTAGTAAATATTAGCCATTTTTTGTATTGTAAGTAGTGCCCTATTCCTCTCTATTTATTAACCTTAACAGCAACGTGAACACTAGCTATTAACATGCATTGAGCAAAAACAATGTGCCAGAAAGTAGGCAAAATGTTTTACATGTATCAATTTATCTAATTCCTATAAAAACTCCATGACGTAAGTTGTATTATTGTCCACATTATATTGATAAAGAAAGGTAAGAATAATTTTTCCAGGGACACTGTAATAGTCAGGATTCCCCAGATAAATGGAACCAAATATATATATCTATATATATATATATGTATAAATTTACATATATTCTGAGGAATCCTGGCAATTATATATATATATATATATATATGATTGATATGTATAACAAATGTGTATAACAAATGATTGATACATGTTAGCTCATGAAATTATGGAGGCTAAGAAGTCCCATGTCCTGTTATCTTCAAGTCGGAGACCCAGGAAAGCTGGAGGTGTAAATCCTAGTCCAAGGGGAAGAGAAGACTTATATCCTGCTTAAGGAGGCATGCTAGGCTAAAAGAAACACATCTCTTTGTTCTGTTCAGGCCTTCAACTGATTAGATGATGCCCATCCACATTAAGGAGTGCAATCTGCTGAATCCGTTGATTCAAATGCTAATCTCATTCAAACAAACACCCTCACAGACACACCTACAAATAAAGTTTTGACTGGGCACCTTACAGCATGATCAAATTGACACAGAACTAACCACCA